CAGGGCTGTATCGCATCCATCCTGCTATGCATGGCAGCATGGATGCAATACAGCCCCAGCCTTGCTACTCGTGTATGCAGTGCACAATGGATGCGATACAGCCCTGCCATTGCCATGCATTGCAGGGGTGGATGTGATACAGCCTTGCCCTTGCTACCCTGGCATGCATGGCAGGATGGATGTGATGCAGCCCTGCCCCTGCCATGCGTGGCAGGGTGGGTGCCATACAGCCCTGCCCTTGCTACCCTGGCGTGCATGGCAGGATGGACGCAATTACATTTCTTCCGGCCACCCCTGCGGTTCCCGCACCATAAAAGCGTCCATCCATTTATCCAGTGTCTATCTAGCAAAAATGGCTAAACAGAGCAACCCGGCTCCCCAGTTAGTGCTTGAGCAGGTGGAGCAAGCCTGTAGCTGGTTTCTAGCCCGTTTGAAATGGAAGATGCTTTATCCCTAATGCGGCAGGAGTCTGTTGCAATGATGGCTCAGCTGGGAAATAAAGCCTGAGGAAAAACCTTAATTACCTTTCAGAAGGGGTACAATTCTAAAAAGTTGCCAATTGGATTTATTTTGCAAAACGCCATCCTTCCTTATTACAAATGTTAAGAAGGGACACGGGCAGAGTCAGACCCCAGGTCCCTTTGCCCCGTCTTGTGTCGCACTGTGGCGGAGCAGTTTGAAGCATCCACCAGAGTCATTCCTCCGGTGCCCCCCTCCGCCCTCTCAATTTATAATAGTCGTGCGAGCGATACCCGATGCAACTACATTTATCTCAGGAAAAAAACCGACATTTCTCTGTAGATGTTTATTCTACTTACAGTAACAAAAACCTGTGAAGTCCCACATTTTAAATGTACAGTGATATATTTTGCAATATAAAATACAATGTACAGAAATTTCTATCAAGTCAACCTAAACAAACACACTTGATTTCTGCATACTTTTAGGTATGTCTTTAAATTAGAAACATCTTGTTAAAAAAAATCTTACACCATAGTAGATGTTTGCATTTAATATCACCCCTTTTTGCATTTGAAACATTCTGACTACAGGTTTAGCATACAGGTCTTACTCAATCAGCCAAGTCCTTGGGTGCGCAAGGACTTCAGAGATGCACCAATGTAAAGTGTGAAATCTGTAGTGCTTTGTATGGGATAAATGCTACTTTTAATGTAGACTTCAAGGCGCAAATGTTAATCAAAATCTAATTTTACATTTGCAAAACTATTTTTATAAAAATATCAAAATATTTACCCAACTGTAAATTTACACGGTCAAATAAATTAGCAGGTCTTCTCTATTTCACATTTCAGAATGACGTACTTGAAGTATACATGAAAAGTAGCGGCGTACTGCATTTCACAGTGAATTGCTTTTCCCTCTTAGGTTAGGGCATTACGACGAATACCATCTTTTCCTTTTCGAGCTTTATTCAAATATGCATACTCCTGTGGACAACTTTTAAAGACATCACCAGCATCATTATGAACTGACGAAAAGCACTGACATTTTAGTTCAGGAGCAACACCCTTCTTAACTATAAATGAGAGAAAAGTGGAAAAATTCTTAAATTTCTAGCAACATTTTGCCCATACAACGTTCTGCATGAATCAAGGCCAATAGATTTCATAGCATATTTCACCAACTTGTTTTTCTTTCCTTCAGTTTCCCAATATATTCAAAATTTTAACTCTTTGCCGATGTATTTCTGATGTTTTTGAAAGCTCCACTGATTATAGAGGTGTTGTATTTGCTTTAGTCATATGTTTGCAAAAAAGTGACATTTAAAACCTCGCAGCCTCATGAAAGTTATTTATGTAGAAGCCCGTGTTTCTTATCTGGATTTTTGATAGCTGGATTCTGTAACTCAAAATACCTTTCTATAAAAAGGAAGATAGTGCACTTTTAAGCTTAACATCATATTCAAATACTCCATCAGTTGCAAATAAGTAATAACACTGTTCTTCTGCAGCCATTTCTTAAATACACACAACCCATCCATTGTAAGAACACAAGACAGCAATATCAGACTCCTCTTGTAAAGCAAGTGCGGTAGGAACGATTTTTTACACCGAAACACTACATAAATGAGATGTAAAGGTATGGCTCCTAAGGTCTTGATTAAATTCTCTTATAAAATTACAGTTCAAGTTACTGGAAAACATAACTTTATAATCTTAAAAAGCAATATGCTCTTTGTAGGCTTTTTCCATTTCTGTAATAATTGTAAATGGAAATTTTAAGATAAAGATGCAAGTAGAAAAAACAAAATTTCAGAACAGTTAACGCTGTGAAGTTCTGTAAGAAAAACATTATGCACAAAATGCAGCAAGGGAAAGTCCAATATGTTCTTATTTATATATTTGAATATATTCACTCACAGTTCAAAAACTGTTCATTTGTCAACAAGTTTTGTAAGGCTGGCTTTACAACAGCGTTTTTGTGAAGATAAAACTATACAGTATTTACAGGAATTGCTATGTCAGTTCTTGCTATTATGCCTTTTTTTGTCAAATTGTTGCGTATGCAGTACAAGCTAATTACAAATTGTTTCTACGACTGATTAGTGGAAGATGACGACGCTTCTGTTTCGGCTGGCTTTTGACTTTCTTTTTGCGGTTCTGGTTTCAAATCCTTACCAGTTTCTTTACTTTTACTTCGATCTTTGCGATCTCTTCCCCTGTCTTTGTCACGGTCTCTTTCTCGATCTCTGTCTTTCTCTCTGCTTCGATCCCGATCTCTGTCTCTATCGCGATCCCTGTCCCTGCTTCTTGATCGATCCCTATCACGCCTCCTGTAGGAGTCTCTCTCTCTAGTTCTGGCTCGCTCTCGGTCTCTGTTTCGTTCCCATTCTTTAGCCCGCTCTGAATCCTTTTCCCGATCCTTGTTTTGGTTTCTCTCTCTGTTTTTATCCCAGTCTTTGTCCCTGTGTCTTTCCCAGTCCCTCTCTCTATTCCAGTTTCTTCCACGGTCTCTTTCCCAAGGTCTGCCATGTTCTCGATCCCTTCGCCTGTCTTCAAACCCTCTGCCTTGTCGGTTCTCTGACTGCTGAGTCTCTGACGGATCTAATCCCTTTTCTTTATTTCCTCCCTCAAATCTCTCTCTCTGTCTTCCATCAAAAGCCTGACCTCTAAATTCAAGGTTTTTGCCCTCTCGGAAATCGGGTGACGATGACCACTGTGCTTCTGACTCGGGTCCTTGTCCTGAAAGATTCGAATGCGATGTAGATGGCCCACCTTCATCCCACATCTCCTTCCTGTGTGGTGGTGGATGACTTGGAAGGTCTAGAAGTGGTCTAGGGGTTGGCTTCATACCTTGTGGAGACTGTCCTTGGAAATGAAATCTAGAAGGGGGAGGTTCATTTTGTTCTGGAAACGCTGGTGTAGCTCCTCTTGGTCCTCCAAACTGAAGTGGTGCTGGACCTCTCTGGTTTGCAAATCGTGGCGGACTCCCTCTCCGTTCTTCAAACGGCTGTGGCAAAAGTCCCCTGGGTCCTGGCATGTGACTTGGAGCTGGACCTCTTTGTCCCTCAAACTGATTTGGATGAGGGCCTCTTGGTCCCCCAAAATGACTAGGAGGTGGACCTCTTGGACCTCCAAACTGAGATGGTGGGGGCCCCCCCCTCTGTCCTTTAAATTGAGATGGGGGAGGTCTTCTTTGACCTCCAAAAGGAAACGGTGAAGGCCCTCCCCTGTTGCCCATAAACTGGGGTGGTTCTGGCCCTTCAAACTGTCCCGGGGGTCTAATCTCATTATATTGGGGATCTGGGAATTCCCTCTGTTCCATGTGAGGTTCCCTCCGATCTTCAAACTGAGATGGTGACATTCCTCTTGGACCACCCATATAAGAAGGTGAAGGGCCCCTATTATCACCAAAAAGAGGCGAGGGTCCATGCTGTGTAGAAAATAATGAAGGAATAGGCCCTTTTTGCCCTCCAAACCTCCCTGGTGGAGGTCCTCTTTGTCCATCATTATTCGTAGAAGCACCATGCTCTTCTGGAAACTGTGGTGCTGGTCCCCTCTGCCCTAGAAAATTGGGTCCGTGAGGTGGACCAAACATCAAGGGTGGAGGCGCTCCTTTTTGCCCAGACATAGGGAATGGAGGCCCTCCTCGGTTTTCTTCAAAGTGTTGGGGAAGAGATCCTCTTTCTCCCTCATTTTGAACAGAAGGAGTTTCATTCTGTTCTGCAAACTGGCGGGATTGGGCATTTCTTTGATCTTCATACTGTGATGAAGACATACCCCTCTCTGGTTCAAAGTGACCAGCTGGCTTTTCCTGAGGTATAAACATGGTGCCTGAAAAAGAATCCCTTCCTCCTGAGGCATTAATGTCTTGTGACTCATTTGACCATGGTGCTTTATGCATATCTTGCAAGGACTGACCATCATTTGACAGAGGGAAATTAGGCTGAAGCGATGTACTTGGAGGCGTTGGAAGCAGGACTTTACGTAAAGGTTTTGCTGCAGAAGTTTCTCCAGAAGCTGTTGGAGTCACAATTTCTGGAAGAACTTGAGAAGTTTTCTCAAATTTGATGTTAGGTGCATCTTTTGGAGACAACGTAGGGGGTTTTTCACTCGGCACCCACTTATCCTCACTGTAACCAGATGGAGCAGGAGAAATTAATG